GAAGAGGCCAAATTCTTGCTTTCTTGACTCACCAAAAGATGTCACAGTTTTCAAGAGGGGCAGGACACTGGCCCTTATAGGACTGCTAGACTCAAATTCACTAGACCCTCGACCTCCTCAGACAGACTGATCTACAGGCTGGACTGTGTGAACATTATTCTAAGAATCATTTCACAGACCTTCCTGAGGGTGAGGAAATGTGGCTTTCAGTCAGAAGAGGGTGAGCAAGGAAAAAAAGTTAAGCAAGTATCAACTCTAAAGGAAAACCAAAAAGTTGTACACAAAAATACAATTACAATTTAGCTCAGCATTGAATGACATTTCTGTGATCAGAACAACAAAGGGGTTAAGAATTCATTAAAGCTGGGCATGGTGGCACATGCCTGTAGTCCCAGCACTCAGGAAGCAGAGGCAGGCAGAGCAACTAGGTTGTAGGCCATCCTGGTCTACAAAGTGAGTTCCAGGACATTGGGGCTACCTGTCTCGAAACCCTGTCTCAAAAAAACCAATACAATAAAATAAAAAGTAAAAACTAAAAAAGAATTGGTAAAAACTGTAATACATGACTATGTGGGATAGAGGGAACAGGAAGAGACTAATATTTTCATTACCAAAATATGAAGGCAAAAATACCTTCCTACTAGTCCAATCCCCTGTACTCCAAAGGCCATTTGTCTTTGGGACTGCCGGAGGTTCATAGGTCAGATGGGAGGCACCTTGCCCCAACCCAGGCCCCACCTAGGGTAGACCTCGTTCTGCCCTGAACCACTTCTCTTTCCAGTTCTTACCAAACCACCATTTCCTACTCAGTGTGTGGTGTCCACTAACGCTGGAACAAAGCTCCTTGCCATCCTCAGGAGAGTGTCAGCAGAAGGTCTGGGCTGCATTCATCAAAGCAAACCAGTTCTCACTCTGATTTCTGCAACCATGTTCCTCCGGGTCCTTTCTCTGCTCTTCTCGTCTGTTTGGAAGTCACACTGGCTGAGGGAGCAACAGGGCACAGCACAGTCTGCAAGCTGTGGTCAGACCCTCAAGATTCTCCGTGCCTTTCCTTCTTTAAGCCTCAGTTTCCCTTAACTGCCAGTGTGTGAGGACAACTGGGGGCACGAGACAGGGTCCTGCAAAAAGCCCGGCTCACAGCAGATGCTCAGTACATGTGAGGATGTAAGTAATCAAAACAGGGGATGAGGAGCAGCTTGGGGGTAGAATATGCATTTAGGGATGCAAGAGATCCCGGTTCCATCCCTCACTCTATGTATGTGTATGGATGAAATTCGGCCCCAGTGATCTGTGATTGTGGAGTCTGATGAAATTACCTTTGGTTTTTGTTTGTGGAGTGGAAAGTCTTCATCTGAGCTTTAAAAAATTATTATTTTGTGTGCAATGTATTTTAAATTAAAATATAATTACATCCTTTCCTTCCTCCAATCCCTGCCGTGTCATCCCCCATTTCCTCTCAAATTGATAGCCTCTTTTTCTGTATTATTGTTATATATATGCACAGATGCATACATATGTACACACACATACACACACATGTATATGAACATTCTTTGATGAAGGTGAGAGCTACACTTATTTGTGGGTATAAGGATAAGTTTTAGGATGTAGGAAGAAATTATGTTGGTCTAGCAGATTCCCTTCTAATCCTCACTAGCCCCCTGGGTAGTTCGTTAGGTTTCATTTGAACTTATACAGACATTTCTTCCTAATTTTTCTGAATCTGTGTGAGCCTCTTTAACTGTGATGGAAGCAATCAAATTATTCTACCCTCGTTTCCGGGGGTGTGGAGTGACCAGATCTTGGCCTTTTCCGAGAGAAAAGGGCAAGAGGGCAATGTGGAGGAAAACCTGGAGTCTAGAGGCCTTGGTCAGGGAAGCATCTCCTCTCATCTCCTCTCACTGCCCCCAAAGAAGGGGCAGATTGAGAGTCAGAGCAATGAACACCATAGAGAATCTGTTTCTCACATCATCCCTGCTCTGGACACCAGGAAAGCCTACGGAATATAGCCCATATTCTCATCACACCCCACTCTGGGCTTCTGTTAAATCACGTCACTTCCCATGTCTTTGAATACACTGGTATTATCTCTGAACCCATCCCCTGCCCACCCACACCTTTCATCACTGAAAGGTCCAACCCAATTCCCCCCCTACTTTCATGTGTTTTCCTTCATCCCTCTGGGTAGTGTTAGGCAGGAAGTTATCTCTGAGAGGGACTGACCAACGAGCCCACCTGTAATTGGAGGTGAAGTTTTTCTGTCCTGACCACCCGGTCCCAAATAAACACATAAAAGCTTATATTAATTACAAAATGCTCTGCCATTAGCTCAGGCTTATTACTAACTAACTCTTACATTTAAATTAACTCATTTCTATTAATCTATGTATTGCCATGTGGTCTGTGGCTTTACTGGTCCTCTGGCATCTTGCTTCTTGGGAGACTCACTCAAGTCTTCCTCGACTCCATCCTTTTTCAACCCAGTCCTCAGTTTGATTGCCCCCCCCCACACTTCCTGCCTGGCTTTTGGCCAATCAGTGTTTCAGTAAACCAATTTGAGTGACAAATCTTTACAGTGTACAAGAGGATTATTCCACAGCACCCCCTGAAATAGGGTATAAAGAACAGTAGTGATCTGGGTGTGGTGGTACATGCCTTTAATATCAGCATTTAGGAGGCAGAGACAGGTGGATCTCTGAGTTCAAGGCCAGCCTGGTGTTAGGATCCTGCCCTCACTCTTGCACATGGGCAGCTTGGGGTCTTGCGTCTTACATCATCAAGGGACGTTGGTGTGGTCACACATTCTGCTCCTTAAAAAAGCCGGACGCGGACCCCACCTTCTCTCTCTGTTCCTTGCTCAGCTCCCCCCTACCCCCCATCTTTCTGTCTTTCCAGGCCTGGCTCCTTTTTTTCCGTCCCCCACCCTTTCCCAACACCTGGTCCATATAGTGTGCTCTAGGGCTACATAGAGAGACTGTCCTTAAAAAAAAAAAAAAACAAGTAAACAAAATGGTGGTAGTGGTGGCTGGGCCAGTTTAGGGCTCAGAAACAGAATAAGGGCAATGGCAGTGTTGACTGGTTGTCAAAATCTAAAGACAGCAGCAGTGGTGGCCGTAGTTGACTCTGAGTGGGCACCCAGACCCTGGAGGAGCCAGCCGGGGTTGCTTGAAGGATTGCCACATTGTAGTTCTGGGTTATAGGGTCCAAGAAATGTCAACTTTTTAGCTGACTCTTTACTTTTCAATCTGTTTAGGATAACTGTGTATTCGTTTTATAGTAAGTAAGGGGGTTATTATAAACCAACTTTACTAAGTACTCAAGCCCTGTCAACCAGCTTTACCTACTCAGCAGGCTGACTCAATGGAAAGAGAGAGGGTTGAAAGGATGAGATCAGTTCTAAAATTGACCCCTGAGGGCAAGGGCATCAGGGCTGTCTGCTGAGGAGACTCTCAGGTCTCCTGTGTCCTCAGCACTCAGCACTTTATTGAAATTGTGACATGGGTCTTTCCCCTGATTCACTTCCTCTGAACCACCCTGGGTGCCACTGCATGGTTTCCCACAGGACAGGCAGGGACACACACCCTGGTCCAGCTGCCAGCCCTTGTTCCCCTGGAGTGTAGACGTGTGCGGGACTGCCTGAGTCTCAGGAGCCAAGTGTGAGGGAAGGATGTTCACTGCAGGAACATCTCAGCTATGGAGGTAATAAACCCAGCCATCAACAAAGCCAGAAGTTAATGGTCATTAGGGCAGAAGTACCACCTGCCCGAAGGTCCTCTCTATGGCCATGGCACCAGGCTCCCTCCTAATTAGCCTGGGCCCACAGAATCAGTGGCATCAATCCACCAGTGGGAGGTAACAGTATGGCACAAGGACACCCAAGCCCGCCCTTTCTCAGCTCTCTGAGCACCACACTTCAGGGGGACTGCTGGGAAGGAGCTCTGTGTCCTTTACAGGTTGAACAAAGTCGGTGGTGGGACTTAGTCCTTGGTACTCAGCAAGCCCTCCCTCCCCAGGATGGTGTGAAGGAGAAGGGACCACTTCCCTGCCCCATCGCCTAGAGCAGCTGGCCAAGCCCGCAGGATCTGAGCTAGGCTCAGGACTCTGCATTGCAAGTTCAGTCACAGAAAGGTCCTGGGCCTCAGAAGTGCTGGGTGTTTCTGTGCTAGCCCTGGGCTTGGGTGTGCTTGCTTGCTCTTCCCGTGGCGAACATCCTCTTGGGCCACAGGCCTCTTTTCTGCCCAGCCCTGAGAATCTATGAGCTCCAGCTACAAGCTGCCAGCAGGGCCTCCCTCTTGCTTTACCCGCAGTTCTCTAGCACCCTATCCTATCCCACCCCCTCATTGTAGAAACAGGGAAACTGAGGCTTGGGAAGCTCAGGCCTTGACCAAGTCACCTGAGGCAAAAGTAGACCCAGCGAACCTGGCCACCTCCCTGGGAGGCTCAAGGGGGCCCTTCTCCCTGAGGCCAGCCAGGCAGAGGTGACTTGGATTCAGGCAGGGGGGCTGAGGATGGACTGGGGCCTGACCTGGCCCAGGGCTACTCCGGGGATTGCCGCTGGCTAGGCAGCTGTGTGACCCAGGCCAGGTGCTATGGTACGGTGTTCCCCCAGCAGCCATACCAGTGGCCGTGCCTGCAGGCGGCGGTTCACACCCACACCCAGCCTCCAGGCTTAAAAGATAGTAGGGTGAACCTGGAGCTTGGTCCTGGTACAGGCCTGAAGAGCGGAGCTAGACAGAGACAACAGTCCAGTCCTTTCGACTCCGAAACCCAGTTTGGCAGGAGCCAGGCCAGCGGGACACGCGCTCTCTCAAGCGACAGGAAAAGGAGTAGAGGCGTCCAAAGAATTAACTAGCGACTCGCTCCAGCCCGCCATCCCTGGCTGAGGCTCCTGTTCGTGGTGGCGCAGAGCGCGCGGGGGCCCCGGCAGCGCGGAGAGCAGGAGCGCACCCGGTGGTGAGCATTGCCCAGAGTGGGAGAAGGCGAGGATAGGCCCAGGAGTAATGGCGTCCAAAGAGCAACAAGCCATAAAAGATCTCGCAGTGCAGAATGAAGAAAAAGAAAACAAAAAAGGGAAGGCCTCCAAGCAAAGTGAAGAAGAATCCCACCAGCTGGAAGAAGTTGAAAACACGAAGCCTGGGGAAAATGTCAGAAGGGGACGAGTCAGGCGACTTGTGCCTGATTTTCGATGGGCCACACCAAATAGACATGTTGATCACAATGAAGGGGGAGAGGGTGTTGGGAAATTTGTAGGGCAGGTGATGGAAGGCAAGAAAAAGACTAGGGAGCAACAGATGAGGCCTTACGGGCGTTTCCAGACACCAGAACCCGACAATCACTATGACCTTTGCCTCATACCTTAAAAACTGAAGGTTTTCTCTGAGCTCATAAAGTGGCTGCTCTTTTACAAGCTTGTATTTAGTGAAGCACTTTTTCTGTAAACTTTTGGTGTTTCCACTTAACAGTTTCTACTTAAAGATTGTTTTACTGTTGCATTCAATTCTAAGCATTCCTATCAGTATGGCAGTTTAATCCATTTTTTTTTTTTTTTTTTGGTTTTTTGGTTTTTCGAGACAGGGTTTCTCTGTGTAGCTTTGCGCCTGTCCTGGAACTCACTTGGTAGCCCAGGCTGGCCTCGAACTCACAGAGATCCGCCTGGCTCTGCCTCCCGAGTGCTGGGATTAAAGGCGTGCGCCACCACCGCCCGGCCAGTTTAATCCATTTTAGAAAGAAATTTTTTCATGATTTGAAATTAATAAAGCAATTTAAAAGGCAAAAAAAAAAAAAAAAAAAAAATTAACTACTGCCCCCTTGTAGTGTTGTGCACTCCTTGGGACAAGAGCCCTAAGCAGCTCATGCTCCACGGCGGCACCTGGGGCCCGATGGACAGACAGCCCAGGACGCCCTCTACCGTAGAAGAAAGGGAAAGGGCGAAAGCCACAACCCGGGCTGCGCCTGGGTCCAGCTTTCCTGTGTGGCCCCAACCATAGCCCGCTTTTGTTACAGGTGTCATTTAGGTGAACAGTGGGACTCAGCTCTCACTCTTGCCCTGCTTTCCCTACGCAATACTGTGCTGGGTGCACAGGGGCTGCTGGGGGCGGAGCCGACTGTGCAGGAAGGGAGGAAGAGGCCGCCGAGTCATTTGCCGCTTGGCTCCCATTGAAGTGGACGAGTAAAGCCCCAACTCCCAGGACCTGTTTTGAGGACGAAACGCAATACTGCACAAATAGAAACCTGCAGAAGTCATACAGGCCACTTGGCCAAGGCCCGGGCGTGAACCTGTCTCCCTACTCGGCCCCAGGCTCGCCCCATAGAAACACGCCGTTTCTCGTAATATGCACCCGAGGCTTCGGTCGCTTTTATTTCCCTGGCTTTTTGCAAGACCAAGGGTCCTATAGCAGCCACGTCGGCGCCCTTCTGACGTGCGAGCGGCAGCACTGGGACGTAAGCACCGTGACCGCCCACAGAGGACGCGAGGCACTTCCGGGAACCGGCCGAACGAACGCAGAAGGCGTCTGGTTCCGCCCCCGCAGTGAGCACTTCCGGGAGGCGTTCCCGCTAGTGCTAGGCGTTTCCGCGGCGCTGAGACCCGGTGGAGACCTCCACTGAAGATGGGCAAAGTGAGGACGCTGCGGGCACGTGTGCACCAGGCGGCCGTGAGGCCCGGCGGGGAGGCTGCACCCCGTCCTGTGCCCCGCGTCCTGGAGCCGGCTCCCCCACAGGCCCCGGCGGGCGGAGCGGGGGCAAAGGTGAGGTGCAGAGCGTGGGTCGGGCCCGGGCCAGGTCTCCGCAGAGCAGGGGCCCTGCGTGGCTGGGGTCTCCGCAGAGCAGGAGCCCTGCGTGGCTGGGGTCTCCGCAGAGCAGGGGCCGGGCTTCCACCCGGCCGGGATGCCGCCTGCACTGTGTGGGTTCTGGCCGCTCTAGTTAGGGTCTTGACCCGATCCCACCTTTAGCCGTTGTGCCTTCATCGTGTGCCCTCCCGGTTGAAGTGTGGGGCTCCGGAAGCTCTCCATCTGCTGGAGGAGAGTATCCCACCACGTTCTGGAAGTGCCGCGGGATGCTCGCTAGCTCTTTAAAATCGCACCGGGCTTTGAGTAAAAGAGAGGAGGTTCCTGAAGTTAGGTGACCTGAAAAGAAGCGCTGTTCTCTTTACAGTCATCCATGGCCTCATCCACCCATGCCTGCAGCCAGGATCTCTGCTGTGGACCGTCTGTGTGACTAGAGGGAGATTGTAATCTCCTGTGTTGGGTTCTTTCACTCAACATGATATGGTCAGAGTTCGTCAGCGTTGCGCAATATATCCACATGTTCTTTGCCCCGGACTCCTCCTTCAGCTGCCTCGGCAATGTTTTCTGGTTTGCATAGGAGGAGCAGAGGGAACATCGTTGGACCACTGGGCCAGTGACTTCGCATCAGTAAAATGCTAAAAGCATGTTTGTCATGCATTTACTGTGTGCTGTGTGTCACACACCTGTAAAGCTGACACAATCTCATTTGTGATTGTGACAGATGAGTTTTTTTTTAATCCTTTATTTTATGCATGTGTTTTGAGTGCATGTATGCATATAGCACATGCGTGTCTGGTGCTGTTAGAAGCTGGAGAGGGCGTGTGTGAATCCCCTGGAACTAGAGTGTTCCACCATGGGTGTGCTGGGAACCAAAGATAGGTCCTCTGCAAGTACAGCAAATGTTCTTAATCACTGAGCCATCCTTTTCTTTAGCCCCCAACTGAGATTTCTTTCTCTTTCTTTTCTTTTTTTTTCTTCTTCTTCTTCTTCTTTTTTTTTTTTTTTTTTTCTGACAGGGTCTCTCTGTAGTTCTGGCTGCCTTGGAACTCGCTATGTAGACCAGGCTGGCCTTGAACTCACAAGAGAATCAGTCTGCCTCTGCCCCCTAACCCAATGCTGGAGTTAAAGACATGCACCACCATGCCCAGCTAAATATGATTTCCTTCCTTCCTTCCTTTTTCTTTCTTTTCTTTCTTTTCTTTTCTTTCTTTCTTTCTTTCTTTCTTTCTTTCTTCTTCCTCTCCTCCTCCTCCCTCCTCCTCCTCCTCCTCCTCCTTCTCCTAAGTGCTGGCATTATAAGCATATGCTACCATGTCTGGCTTAGTATTTTATTATTTAACTAATTAATTTATCCTTATTTATTTATCTATCTATTTATTTCTTTTCAAGACAAGATTTCTCTGTGTAACAGTCCTGGCTTTCCTGGAACTAGCTCTGTAGACCAGGCTGGCCTCAAACTCACAGAGATCAGCCTGCCCCTGCCTCCCAAGTTCTGGGATTAAAGGCATTTGTCACCACTGGCTGGCAATGTTTTATTATTTTTAATGCTGTTGCAAATGGACATTTTTCCTGAATTTTGGGGACAGAGTATTCACCACTACTGTATAGAAACACTGTTGAGTTGGGGACAGAGTATTCATCACTAGTGTACAGAAGTACTGTTGAGTTGGGGACAGAATATTCATCACTAGTGTACAGAAGTACTGTTGAATTGGGGACAGAATATTCATCACTAGTGTACAGAAGTACTGTTGAGTTGGGGACAGAATATTCATCACTAGTGTACAGAAGTACTGTTGAGTTGGGGACAGAGTATTCATCACTAGTGTACAGAAGTACTGTTGAGTTGGGGACAGAGTATTCATCACTAGTGTACAGAAGTACTGTTGAGTTGGGGACAGAGTATTCATCACTAGTGTACAGAAGTACTGTTGAGTTGGGGGCAGAGTATTCATCACTAGTGTACAGAAGTACCGTTGTATTTTTCATATTGACATTTCTTCTTCCAGAGTTTATTATTATTATTTTGTAGGAAACAGGTTAATATTGTAGCAATCATTGATACTTTTTGATTGGATATCTTGTTTATTTTTTAAGTTAGTGTGTTGTTTTTCTGTTCTAGGAGTTGAACGTAGGTAATTGTTTTACCGATGACCTGTGTCTACCATTGCTCTGTAACACGAATTGCTAAACAGTTTTATTAATAAAAAAAAAAAACCTGGAGCCAGATATTGGGGTGGAAACTGAGAGATCAGAGGAATAGAACAAGTCAAGCCACAAGTTCTTACTGCTAGGAAATCCTCAGCCTAAGAGAGAGCTACTTCCCGTATACTCACGCCTTTATACCCTTCTGTGCCCTGCCATCTTACTTCCTCTCTCCTTCCAGCTATATCACTTCCTCTTTCCTTCCAGTTCTATCACTTCCTGTCTGTACAGACCTCCAGGCCTCTATGGTTAACTAGTGCTGGGATTAAAGGCATGTGCCATCACATCTAGCTCTGTTCCCAGTGTGGCCTTGAACTCACAGAGATCAATCACAATTCACAGGATGAATCTCTGCCTCCCGAGTGCTAGGATTAAAGGGGTGTGCTACCACTGCCTGACCTCTATGTTTAATATAGTGGCTGGCTTTTTCCTCTGATCTCCAGGCAAGCTTTATTTGTTAGAGCACAAATAAAATATCACCATAATTGCTCAGTTGTTGCTTTGGGTTTTCTATTTTATTTGTTTTCATTTTATTTTATTTCATTGTTTTATGTTTTGTTTTGTTTTTGAGACAAGGTTTCACTATAGCTCAGGCAGGCTTGTCACTCTCTGTGCCCAGGCTGTAGCCTACTGTGCCCAGCTTTTATTTGAGTGTGGCTAAACTATTTGAGAATTATTCCCATCTCTCTTTACATCCTCCCGTTGCTGTGCAGCGTCTGATGTCTTAGTTTCTCCATGTTTCTTTTAATTTGGTAACTTGGCTCAAGCTTAAGCCACGTATTGACAGAGATTGTTCTAAGCCCCTTGGCCGGTCAGATCTTTGCCTCACTACTGGAAGGCTATGTGGTTGGTATTCCTGTTTTGACCCTCAGAGGTGGTGGAGGACTTAGAAGCTTCCCTGTGCTCATTCCTGGGAGGGCTTATGCATACAGTTGCAGTGATGCCCTTCCACAGAGCTGCTCCTGGATCTACATGTATTTGCATGGAGGCCATGCTCAGTCCCTGTGCTAGCAGAGCTCCACTCTACTTTCTAGGAGACCCAGCTGCTCTGATTGCTCCAAGTCTGATCGAGGCAGGAAGGAGCATCCTAGGTACAGGCCTGATCTGGGAATAGGGACACGGCTACTTTCCCAGGGCCTCCCTGGCTGAGAAGTAGAGATTTTTGTCTTGGTATCTTGTCACTATGTGACTCTGAAACTAAAGGTCAACTTGATGTTGTCCTCTCTCTTCTCTTGTTGGGACTGCAGGACTGGACATTGGTTCACAATGACATCTTTGCCAGGACAAAGATAGACCCTAGTGCCTTGGTGCAGAGGCTGGAGCTGGACCAGAAGAGTGTGGTGTCCCTAAAGAGAGGTGAGTTCCTGCCTTTGGAGAGGTGAGAGGACAGCCTGACTGTTGCCTGTGGGCTGGCCTGTGCTTTTAAAAAGATGTTAGGCCAGATGTGGTGTCGAATACTGTTAATCCCAGCATTTGAGAGGCAGAGGCAGGCAGATCTCTGTGCATTCCAAGCCAACGTGGTCTACATACTGAGTTCCAGGACAGACAGGGCTATGTAGAAAAACCCAGTCTCAAAACAAAACAAAAAGAGACGTTACTTTTATGGAAAAGAATTTAAAATATACCAAAGTAGAAAGAAGTTCCATGTGCCAAATGCCTGCCCTTGGTTCTTATTCACTGAGTACTTTTGAAGTGAGTACCAGAGTGCTTGGCATTTCATTCATAAATTCTTCAGCATGCATCCCTAAACACTCTTGCAGTAGAGAAACTTCCTACCAAATTGATGCTATGCCTGTACATTGACAGGGAGGCAGAAAACAGGTGGGCTTTGGCCTGCCAGGTAGTCAGCCCTAATTGTTACTGCTGACGAGTATTGTGACCAAAGACATTCTTTTTTTCCCCAAGATAGGGTTTCTCTGCATAGACCTGGCTGTCTTGGAACCCGTGTCTAGCCCCACTGTTTGGCCTGGACACACCTACCAACTCCATTCTACCGCCAGAACACACACTGCTTCTTTAAAGTGACATCTCTCGACACTTGGTGGCTTTTGGATATGCATACCCTTGATGGCCTAGGCAGTTTCATGGGTGTTCTTAAAGTGAACACAAAGATTTGAACCTCTTGATTTGCATGATTTTGTAGGGTTTTCTTGGTTAAGAAAGTAGAGAACCATCTTCACAGGTCACTTTAGGCCGCTCACAGAAAGAGGAGACATTTCACATTCTTAACTGTCAGTCCTGGTATATAAAATGGTGACAGACTCACCTCATAGAGACTGAGGTTACTATGTCCAGAAAGGTTCAGGCATTCAGCAAACACTGGTTCCTTGCTCCTTATTCCCAAGGCGGGCCCAGCTAGACAACTCCAGAGGAGTTGGTATATCCTTCGGGACAGTAGGATGCTCTTTGGCTTCAGCTGAGCCGTGGGCCCCTTCCTGCCAGCTGGACCCTGCAGAACTTGGTGGCCACCTTGCAATGGCAGTGCCTCCTCCAGCCTTGTCTTGTCCTTTTCCTGCTAACATTTCTGTCAAGCCTTGTTGTTGGGATGGTCCTGGGGCCGCCTGTCACCCTCATACCTGCCTCCACTTGGTAGCAATGCTTTCTCAAAAGGATTAACTTAACAATTAATTAGAATTTGAAAACTGTAGCTGATTGAGTCCTTCAGATAATGATGTCTTAAAAATCTGTATACCCGCCAGGTGGTGGTGGCACACGCCTTTAATCCCAGTGCTCTCGAGGCAGAGGCAGGCGGATATCTGTGAGTTTGAGTCAGCCTGGTCTACAGAGCGAGTTCCAGGACAGCCAGGGATACACAGAGAAACCTTGTCTAAAGAAAAAATAAAACCTTAAATAAGGGATGAATCACATCTGAGTTCTCACTTTCTAGAGTGGCCATTGGCCTCCTTAATTGTACGTATTTCCCATGTCTGCCCCTTTGAGAGGGTCATAGGGTCTAGAGTTTTAGTCTGAGGCAGAGATGGGTTTTAGGGTTATGGGAGGGCCCCTCAGCCTGGATCATGTATAGCTTTGGCCAGAGAGTAGCCTTGGTTCTCGGTGCCCATGATTCTTGCCTCTGTGCATGTGTTTGGGGCAGAGGATGTCCTAGAAGAAGGTGCTCCGGAATGAAGAACTCATCCAGTCTACACCAGCCTTAGTCCCTGGAGACCAAGGGTGGTCTCTGAGGCACCTCTCGGGACGCTCCTTTGCAGTTTCCATGGTGTCTGTGTGTGTCACCTATCCTCTAATCAGCCCCGCCTTCTTGGGGACCCCTCTGACTGGCTGTGTCTCTCTCCAATTACATATCTGTCCTCAGTTAACTTTAGGCTAGACATAGGTGACTGTTAGACCTCACAGAGTCCTTGGGAATCAGGGCAGACTTGGCTCTTTCTCTGCCCTGTGGCACTAAAGATCAGCAGCAGCTTGTTGGACACAGCAATGCCTGCAGATCCTTTGGGGACAGCCCCGTGTGTGTAGGGAGGGACTTGTGTTTGGAAAACCCCAGTCCTTTATCTCATTCCCACCTGGCCTTTAAAGCTTGAGTCTCCCGGAGTTCCAGGTCTGCATCTCAGATCCCTCTCCCATGATTCTTCTGGTTGCCTGGTACCTTTTGTGTTCTTGGTACTGGCCACTTCTGTTCCTGCTGAGCCAGGCAGGTGGAGGGGGCCCTAACTTGTGTCCAAGTGGGCATGGATCATGGAGGGAGCTGAGTCCATGACTCAGTCTCCTGCTGTGTTCTGCCTGTCTTGGTCCTGAAACTGTGACTGGGGCAATGCAGGAGTGAGGAAAGGACAGACACACACCCGGGAGAGCTGGGGTAGGGAGGCCTCGGGCGGGCTGTGCTTGCTCTGATGGAGGGCACCTAGGCCATCTGGAAACTCAGGGATGTCTTATGGTTTCTATTGCTGTGATGAAACACCATGTCCAAACAACTTGGGGAGGAAAGGGTTTATTTGGCTTACAAATCGCAGTCCATTGAGGGAAGCCAAGCAGGAACTCACACAGGGCAGGATCCTGGAGGCAGGAGCTAATGCAGAGGCCGTGGAGGCTGCTGCTTACTGGCTTATCCTCATGGCTTGCTCAGTCTGCTCTCTTATAGAACCCCAGACCACCAGCCCAGGGATGGCACCACCCACAATGGGCTGGGCTGTTCCCTGTCAATCACTAATTAAGAAAATGCTCTATAGGCTTGCCTACAGCCCGATCTTATGGAGGCATTTTCTCATTGAGGCTCCCTCTTCTCTGATGACTCTGGCTTGTGTCAAGCACCAAACTAGCTAGCACAGGGGTCTCTGTAGGGACGCAGTCTCAATTGCAGTCATCTGGGAGGAGGAAGCTGTAGTTGGTAGTGTTTGCACACTGGTCAATGGTAAACACTGTGCTTGGACCAGAGGAAGGCTTTGCCGTTTCCGTATGTCTGAGGCCTTGGGGTCCTTGACATGGCTGTGCCTATGTCAGCAATACACTTCACTCCGGACCTCATCTGCCCCCACAGTCTGCCCTGTGACCTGTTGGTTTCAGAGGTACAAGCAATGCCTGTAGGTACTTTTCTGTCTGTGTCATGGCAACACCTGCCCCATGCCTCATCCTTGCCCAGGACCGTGTCAGAAATAATTCCACTGGACTGGTCTACTCTGATGACTGGTCTAGCGAATAACCTAACTGTCATCATAGAGCCTTTGTCCAGTGACTGATGGAGGCAGAGGCAGAGATCCACGGCCAGGCACCAGGCTGAGCTCCGGGAATCCAACCGATGAGAGAGAGGAGAGATTCTGCAGACGGGGGACGTCGAGATCATGATGGGAAGACATGCAGAGATGACCGGCCACACTAGTGGAAGCCCATGAACTATATAGACTAGTGGCTGTGAAGCCCCATGGGACTGGACTAGGCCCTCTGGATACAGAAGATGGTTGTTTGGCTCAAACTGTTTGCGGGGCACCCAGGCAGGAGGATCGGGATCTGTCCCTGGTGCATGGGCTTTTGGGAATCCGGTGCCTGTGGTGTGACACCTTGTGTAGCCTTGGTACAGTGGGAAGGGGCTTGGACCAGACTAGGCTAAGTGTGCCGGGCTCTGCTGACTCCCCATGGGAGACTTTAATTTGGGGGATGTGGGGATGTGGGGTGGCTTGGGAGGGAGGGCTGAGGGGTGGGAGGAGGGAGGAGGAGGTGGGATCTGTGGGTGGTATGTAGAGTGAGTAGAAAATTTCTTAATAAAGAAAAATGGAAAAAAAAATTCCACACTTCAGGTCCAGGAGCTGAGGTGGATACAGCTGGTATGGACCTAAGGAGGATAGACAGTTGCCATGATCCCCGTGTGCACACACAGGCTGTCCTACCACATTCAGGCTTGTAGCCCCAGGAGGTGGTAGCACCTTTGTCTCTGTGCATGCTTTGTTAATGTCTCTATTGATACCTCGAGCCAGCTCCCTTCCTGCTCCCCTGAGCTTGCTTTCCTGTGGCAGGAAGGGTCTCTACCTCCTGGGAGGTGCTGGGCTCTGCAGCTGTGCTGTGGGGCTCCTAACTTAGGTATCTTCACCTCCTGCCCTGGGAGGAGGGGTGAGACTGGTCCAGAGATCTCCCCTAACCCCAGCAATAAACCCAGTTTTGTCCTGTGGGCTAGAGGGTCTTCCCTGTGGGGTCCTGAACCCCCATGTGAGGTAGTTTATGACTCCCCTGCCTGCTCTTTTGGCAGGGGTTGGAGGAGTTGTGGCAGATACTAGTGAGCACCCTTCCTCCTGCCCCATCCTGCACATGGTGTGTTACCTGGTCTGTAGTCAGTTTGAGCTGCTACAGTGAGCCTGAGCATGGCACTGCCTAGCAGATGGTCATGGTATGCTGTCTGGCATCTGCCTTTATTGACCTTGGGCATGAAGCTAAAAAAGGGTGTTGTGCTGTATGGAGGAGACAGTCCACAAGCATATTTTTGGATTTTATTTCCAGTTCTCTGTCCCTGCACGAGATTGCAGAAAATAAGCTCAATCCATTTCCAGACTGTCTTCTGGACTCTAGCTCCAAGAGGTGGGCAGGATGAGGCAGGTCCTGCAGAGGAGAGCCAGGGTGGGGCTGGGACTCCTAGAAGGAAGGCTGTGAGGAGTGTGTGAACAGTACTGTCAGTGGCCCTTGGTCAGCATGCTGCTGGATGCAGAGGCCACCAGGAGCTGTGGGGCAAACAGGTCATTAGGAGCCCTAGGCTGTGTGAAGTGCCTGCAGCTGTGCTACAGGAAACCCACATGGTCACACATGCACACACATGGTCTTCTCAGGCATCGTGACAGGCTCCAGGGCGCAGGTGGCTGTACCTTTTTAGACCCTCAACCTCCCCTAGGTTGAGCCGAATGAGCAGGTGAGTGAATGTG